GTGGGGTGGGAGGGATGGGGTGACTGGGTGATAGACACTGGGGAGGGTATGTGCTCTGGTAAGCGCTATGAATTGTGCAAGACTGTTGAATCTCAGATCTGTACCTATGAGGGCATTTTAAATGAAGATTTTGAACATCCACTTAGTAAAAAGTGTATACTTTTAAATGTAAACTAGAATATGAATGGGACTCCCTACTGCATTATTTTCCAGACATGGATCTCCTGGTCTCGGGAGTTTGCTAAAATTTCTCAAGATCTCCTTTATTGATCTCATTATCATTGAATGGAAACCATATGAATACTCCTTTTAATCCAATCCTTCTCTTTTTCAACCTCAGTTATCAACAACCCCCTCTCCCCTCCATCTCCTCTATCTTATCCTTAGAGATTATATTACCTAGGAGTCAGCAATAAGAATCCTCAAGGAGTTAACTTTTGACCAGCCTCTGATGAGGACCATCATCACCAACTCATATGCTGGCTCTTTCTTCTTCCCCTGTCTCATGCAAAGTGAACCTTTCTGTCAATTATATCAGTAAAGGTGGCATCTGAAGACAAGAATTTGTAGTCAGAAGGTATTAGGGATCTGTAACAAGTGAAACTCAATGTTCCTGAGAACTTTTGCAATGCCTTCCTTCCACTCACTTACTTATTCTTACCTCTGCAAACAAACACTTTATATAAAGGCCATCTATGTGCAAGAACCAGCAAAGGGCTCTATAGTGACAAGATGCAAAAAGAAACACAATCACCAGGCCCTCAGAGCTCTTACTCTAGCCAGGGGCACAGGCTTGGGAGTGGAACCTATCAGAAGAAGTAGAAACAATGTTTCATTAGGGTTAAATGATAGTTCAGTCATTCCTGGAGATGGATGAATCATGGCAACTTGTCACCTTTCCGCTTCTACTCCTGGAGATTAAATTACTAGTAGAATGCATAAAATGTGCAATGTGTGTGTATGACTATGCGTGCAAGTGTGAGTGTGTACACATGGATATGATGTCTACCTATGTCAGGTCTGCAGGCAACTCTGCCATGTGCAATAGAACTGACAAAGAGCAAGGGAAGGAGAAAATGTCCTAATTTGCACTCAGAAACTATTCTGATTGCTATGATCTGAATGAGTTGCAAATTCTAAAGTTCCACTTAGAAAATTCTGATCTCATTTGGAGCTTATGAAATTCAGGATCCCTAAATGTCTCCTTGAGAATTTTGAGGAAACCCAAAAATAATACACTCAAATAGTTATGTGAATGGGGCTTCTTTGACAGTAAAGATTCTGGAGCTGTGATAATCTCTTTAGGTTGGTCTGATCTGATTTTATCTTTCATGGGGATAGTTACAGGAACTCAGGAAATAACAAAATTCCCAGAGTCCCTCCAGGGATTCCAGATATCACTACCCAGATCAGGAGGAGCAGAGTAGAGTTCCTAAGGAAACTACAAACCAGAACATTGCTCTCTTCACCTCTTAGGAAGAAGCCTTAGAATCAGACTGTGCCAGTATCTGGGATACTGTAGAAAGTTCTAGAAGATCTGGTGAGGAGCATCGTAAACATACAAAGGCTGTGTTGCATATTCCAAGATACTATCTCTCAGGATACAACAGCTAGCTTAGCAGTTTTTACATGCAACTGCTGAATAATCTGTGAAATCTTTGTCTTTTTTTTTAAAGATTTTATTTATTTATTTGACAGAGAAAGACACAGTGAGAGGGGGAACACAAGCAAGGGGAGTGGAAGAGGAAGAAGCAGGCCTCCCACCGAGCAGGGAGCAGGAAGCCCGATGCAGGGCTCCATCCCAGGACCCTGGGATCATGACCTGAGCCGAAGGCAGACGCTTAATGACTGAGCCACCCAGGCGCCCCATAAGCTACTGACTCTTGGTATCAGCTCAGGTCTTGATCTCAAGGTCGTGATTTCAAGCCCAGCATTGGACTCCACACTGGGTGTGGAGCCTACTTAAAAAAAAAAAAAGAAAACGAGAGAGAGAGAGAGAGAGAGAGAAGTTCTATTCAATAAAGTGACCTAAAGTAACCCAAATAAAGGGAGATTAAATACATCTGTTGGAAACATCAACTGTTTTGAGACACCATGTCTCTTTAGTAAACATTGCTCACTCAATGCCATGCTGCTCATGTAGTAAGATCTCTAATCCTCCATTCCTGACAATTAAGAACTTCAGCTTTCCTCACTAAACTGCATATGGTCGTTACTTTGGGG